GACAGCTTTCTCTTTCCTTGTATTACCTCTAGGAATCTCCCCAGAAGGTTACTTTTCTGGCCAGACCCCAAGGAGACCTAACCCTAACCCTAGCCCCAACCCTAACCCTAGTTTAACTTTGTGAATGGAATTTTCCCATGTAATATATTGGGCACCCAAAATATGTCCGAATGAAAAGCTGTCGTTTTCTCTTTCCTTGTAGTACCTCTCGGAATCTCCGCAAAAGTTTAGTTTTCTGGCCAGACCCCGAGCAGGCCTAACCCTAACCCTAGCCCCAACCTTAACCCTAGTTTAACTTTGTGAATGGAATTTTCCCATGTAATTTATTGGGCACCCAAAATATGTCCGAATGAAAAGCTGTCATTTTCTCTTTCCTTGTAATACCTCTAGGAATCTCCGCAAAAGTTTAGTTTTCTGGCCAGACCCCGAGGAGGCCTAACCCTATCCTTAGCCCCAACCCTAACCGTAGTTTAACTTTGTGAATGGAATTTTCCCATGTAATTTATTGGGCACCCAAAATATGTCCGAATGAAAAGTTGTCGCTTTCTCTTTCCTTGTGATACCTCTAGGAATCTCCCCATAAACTGAGTTTATTGGCCACACCCCAAGGCCACCTAACCCGAAGCCTAGTCCCAACCCTAACCCTAGTTTAATGTTCTAAATGGGATTTTCCCATGTAATTTACTGTGCACCCAAAATAGGTCCGAATGAAAAGCTGTCACTTTCCCTTTCCTTGTAATAACACTAGGAATCTCCCCATAAACTGAGTTTATTGGCCACACCCCAAGGAGACCTAACCCTAACCCGAGCCCCAACCCCTAACCCTAGTTTAATTTTGTGAATGGGATTTTCCCATGTAATTTTCTGTGCACCCAAAATATGTCCGAATGAAAAGCTGTCGCTTTCCATTTCCTTGTAATACCTCTAGGAATCTCCCCATAAACTGAGTTTTCTGGCCAGACCCCAAAGATTCCCAACCCTAACCCTAGCCCCAATGCTAACCCTAGTTTAATGTACTGAAGGGGATTTTCCCATGTAATTTACTGTGCACCCAAAATATGTCCGAATGAAAAGCTGTCGCTTTCCCTTTCCTTCTAATACCACTAGGAATCTCCCCAGAAGGTTAGTTTTCTGGCCAGACCCCAAGGTGACCTAACCCTAACCCTAGCCCCAAGCCTAACGCTAGTTTAACTTTGTGAATGGGATTTTCCCATGTAATTGACTGTGCACCCAAAATAGGTCCGAATGAAAAGCTGTCGCTTGATCTTTACTTGTAATACCTCTAGGAATCTCCCCATAAACTGAGTTTATTGACCACACCCCAAGGAGACCTAACCCTAACCCTAGCCCCAAGCCTAACACTAGTTTAACTTTGTGAATGGGATTTTCTCATGTAATTTATTGGGCACCCAAAATATGTCCGAATGAAAACCTGTCGCTTTCTCTTTCCTTGTAATACCTCTAGGAATCTCCCCAGAAGGTTAGTTTTCTAGCCAGACCCCAAGGAGACCTAACCCTAACCCGAGCCCCAACCCCTAACCCTAGTTTAATTTTGTGAATGGGATTTTCCCATGTAATTTTCTGTGCACCCAAAATATGTCCGAATGAAAAGCTGTCGCTTTCCATTTCCTTGTAATACCTCTAGGAATCTCCCCATAAACTGAGTTTTCTGGCCAGACCCCAAGGATTCCCAACCCTAACCCTAGCCCCAATGCTAACCCTAGTTTAATGTACTGAAGGGGATTTTCCCATGTAATTGACTGTGCACCCAAAATAGGTCCGAATGAAAAGCTGTCGCTTTCTCTTTACTTGTCATACCTCTAGGAATCTCCCCATAAACTGAGTTTATTGGCCAAAACCCAAGGAGACCTAACCCTAACCCTAGCCCCAAGCCTAACACTAGTTTAACTTTATGAATGGGATTTTCCCATGTAATTTATTGGGCACCCAAAATATGTCCGAATGAAAAGCTGTCGCTTTCTCTTTTCTTGTAATACCTCAAGGAATCTCCCCAGAAGGTTAGTTTTCTGGCCAAACCCCAAGGAGACCTAACCCTAACCCTAGCCCCAACCCTAACCGTAGTTTAATGTTCTGATT